CTCAACTGCTTTGGTCTGGAAACAGAGAGCGTAGGGATGCCAAAAAATGATGTCCTGGAGATGCAAAGTATGATCCAAGAACTCTACTTACCTCCTGATTTCTTAAAGAGTTTATCAGGTGGCCAGGTAATTGCTTTTAGATAGATAAGTGGCCTATAGGGTTTGGAGCACTTTACCATCATGAACACTATTAATCTGGTCATGTGTTAATATTCAGAGACAATGGTGGGAGTTTAAGTCAAAGCACATGGACAAAGTTCTCTTTTAAAAGGTATGTTCATCCTTTACAGTAGCCAAGTAATGTTATATATATTATTTGGATTAAAAATATATATATATGTTATATAATGCCACACAAACTTTCAGGGTCATTACTGCAGTCAAGTGATGAATATCTGATTTTTGTTTGAGCAGATGGGCAAATTTTATGAACTTTTTGAAATGGATGCACACACAGGAGCAAAAGAACTTGGTCTGCAATATATGAAGGTAATCTATCTTCAAATTCTGTCTTGGTGTTGGCTGTTGTGTGTGAGCACTTAACACTATCTTTCTTTTCTCATTTTATCTTGACTGTATAACGGTTGGATAAAATTCATTTTATAGGTCAAAAGAAGAAAATAAAAGATACAAGCTGTTCTCTTCTGACCATCCATTGTGTTTCCTATTTGTTTTTTGTTTAGTAATTTTTCTTTGACTAATATTAGGGTGAACAACCCCACTGTGGATTCCCAGAGAAGAATTTCTCAATGAATGTGGAGAAACTGGCTAGGAAGGTTGGCTTTATTCTTGTCATTTTCTCTGAAGATATCTTTTTTTACTCTAATTCGTAGAAGTTAAACCTCTAATATCTATTAGAAGTATATTTCTTAATCAGGAGGGAGATTAATTTAATCTGCCTTGACTGAGCAGGGGTATCGAGTTCTTGTTATAGAGCAGACAGAAACACCTGAACAGATGGAGCTTCGTCGCAAAGAGGATGGCTCTAAAGATAACGTATGCTCATTTGACCTGTCAATATATATACTTGAATGTTTGTCATCTGATTTATTTGATATCTTATATTTTAATTCTTAGCACTGCACTTTGTAATTTCATATCCATATTGAAGCTACTCATAAAAGGTACTATGAACTTCTGACTTCACCTTTGTCTATAGGTTGTGAAACGTGAAATATGTGCAGTGGTTACAAAAGGAACTCTAACTGAGGGAGAGATGCTGTCAGCAAACCCTGATGCTTCTTATCTAATGGCAGTGACTGAAAACTCTCAGAATGTGGCAAACCAAAATACAGAGCGAATTTTTGGGGTTTGTGTAGTTGATGTTACTACCAGCCGAGTCATTCTCGGGCAGGTGTGAGTGTGGTAGAACATCTCGTTCATCCTTTTCTCATAGTTTTCATTCTCATAATTGTACAGACATATATGCACACATAAAGCATACAGTTGTTCCACGAACTGGGTGGGACTCATCACTCATCAAAGCAGTGGAGGGCAGAGGGGGTTCTTTGTAACTGCTAAGCATAATTGGTGAAATTGTGTGCCTCTTATGAACGTAAAAGGTCTGGTAGCGTGATTTTCTGGTGCCTGCTGGAATCAGTGGCTGTCTACATTTCCATTAAATTTTAACTGTTTGAGGACATATATGATCAGCAGTACAAGTTGTGACATTGTTACTCCTAATTTCCATTTTACAACAAACAAGTTTTTTCATGCTATGTTTTGTAGTGCTTTAGTGAATCAAATGTTTGTAAGTCTGTGTTTTTTACTAGTATGGCTTTACTGAACTAAATGTTATGTATGGATGTGTTTTTTACTAGTATTGTTTTCCCTTTAACAGTTTGGAGATGATTTAGAGTGCAGTGCCTCGTCTTGTCTCTTGTCCGAGCTGAGGCCCGTGGAAATTATAAAACTTGTAAAACTTCTTGGTCCTGAAACAGAGAAAGTACAGCTAAGGCATACAAGAAGTCCACTAGTCAATGAGTTAGTCCCACTTTTAGAATTCTGGGATGCTGAGAGAACTGCTCAGGAAATTAGACGTATCTACAGGTGCACCGTTGATCAATTGGTTTCTGGTTCTCCAAAGACATCCAACTTACATGCTAATGATTCTCATTTGGAAGAAGATGACTTGGGCTGCCTGCAAGATGTGTTGTCAGAGCTTATGAGAACAGGTGAGAATGGCATCTGTGCACTTTCAGCTCTTGGAGGCGTTCTTTTTTATTTAAAGCAGGCTTTTCTGGATGAGACATTACTTCGATTTGCAAAACTCGAGTTACCTTGAGATTTTTGAGAACAGCAGAAATGGAGACTCTTCAGGGTAATCTTCTTTAAATTATCTTACACATGTCTTTAATTTTTCTCATTCTAATCTCAATTCTTAGGTAATTTATTACTCTTGAAGGACAATATATGCACAATTACCACTGTGTTACCGGATTTGGGAAGCGATTGCTTAAAACATGGCTTGCAAGACCTCTATATCATGTAGAGTTGATAAAGGAACGCCAGGATGCTGTTGCAAGTCTTCTCTAGTAGGTAAGCTTGGAATGACCAGTTGATTTTATTATCACTACAGTAAACTTATGCTTATAGGGAACTTACCGATGGCTCCAGAGAATGATTTACAGTAACTGAATGTGACTGAATGCAGTAAAGCTTGCGGGAGGAATGCTAATAAGGTTGTTTTATACGAGGATGCTGCTAAAAAACAGCTTCAGGAGTTTATTTCAGCTTTGCACGGTTGTGAACTAATGGTTCAGACATGTTGTTCTCTTGGAGTCATCTTGGGGCATGTTGAATCCTAACTTCATCATTTGCTTACACCGGGTATTATTTGATTTTTGTGTTTTTATTTCTATCATTTAAAAAGATCTTTTTTGTCATCTTATAAATTGGTTTTGGCAAGTGCATATATCTTTTCATCGTTTTAAAAATCTTGGCATCTTATTGTCATTGTTTTGCAGGTCAAGGTGGCGGTTCCAGGATTCAAAAGCCGATTGGGCAAAACTTACATACTAAACTCCATGATACGATGAATTTCATTAATAAACATAAAAAGATACACATAGTCGGGGGGATATAATGAGTCTCACCCTCAAATGCATCTTTATCTATAAATTAAAGTTCAACAAATACAAAACCAAAACTAAAACCAAAAGTAAATGCAATGCAATACAAAACAACACTATTCAAATTCGTTTTTCTCTTAGGATTCCGATTGTGATCCGACATAATAAAAGATAGCCTATGAATAATATGTAGAAAGAATTTTAATCAAACATACCAACAAAAAACCAAACAAATTCTCATAATAACATCTCAACAATACCAAACCAAAAATTATAATTCATCCATAATTAAACCCTAAAATACTCAATTTTAACAAAATCCCAAATCAAAGCCCTAGAATAATTCAGCCCTAAACCTATAATTAAAGATATATAGCAAAGGAGAGAATGAGAATAATACTTGTTGCTGACAAAAGGAGAGGAGAAGATGTTGTTGCCAAGTTGCCCACCCAAAATAATAGAAGATTTAGCCAATAGAGGGAGAATTTGACCCAAAAAAAAATAAGGGGGAAGAAACTTGCTGTGGTCGAGTAGCAAAGAGAGAGAGAGAGAGAGAGAAACAAGAAGTCTAATAGCCAAAAGAGAAGGAGAGAGAATATATGGGACCACCTGGATAGGCAACATATGTGTAGCGTATGCTTTTAATTTTTATTATTATTTTGAGATAGACACATTTTAAGGATGCCTCTGATTGGGTACAAGCCAATAGTTCAGGTCGTATAATACCTCATGAAGGAGTTGATATTGAATATGTCTCTTGCTGGGGAAATAATAAGGTGCAACTAATTAGTTTTTAGTTTAATACAAGTTTGCTGACATGGATTTATTAAAATCATTAGATTAATTTATTGGTTTGCATTTTTTTAAATACGTGTAAATACACCGATGCTAAAAATGCAGAGGCTCAGGATCCCCATATTACACATGTATGCCCTCCCAATAAAGTTACCATTTTTGCATGCATCCATTAATTAGAAAACAAAGTAGCAGGAAAGATAAGGGAGTGGTCATGACCAATTGTTAGGGGAGATGATCTTTTCAATTTGTCAATTAGGAACCTAAATTTTTTTCCTAATGTAGAAAAAGAAATAGCGCTCAGGCAAAATCAAAATGAAAAACTACACTTAATATCAAATCAAATTTATCCGGCTTCCTATGAAAAGCTACACTTTACTTTTTTTAAGAAGAAAAAAAAAAAAAGAAGAATAATTTATCGAAATTTACCTTTACTTCTTTTTATTGGATTTAAAAAAATAATAATTAACAATTAGAAGAGTGCAAAAAAGGCAAAAATAGTAAATAATTAAAAGGAAAGCAAAATAGAGTGCAAAAAAGGTTTAGAGTCGAAACTAGTTGCCCAAAACACATTAATTATTTTTTTATATTAAAGCGAAGCGTGTATCCTTGGTGGGAGCACATAAATTTGTCTGTTTGAGACAGATGACGATGAGAAAACAAAGGCCAAAGTTTACAATCACGGTAACTGTTTTGGATCTTTTCCTCCTCCTCACAGTCACAGTCACAGTCACGGTGGGGGGATCATCAAGGGGGACTGCTGCTATAGTGAACTTCATCAAGGGAAACCTCAACCATTGGTGGTTGAGGTTGCTGGGAAGCTATTTGTTCTCTCTGGTGGTCTGGTAAATTTCTTTAGTCCGGCTTTTGAGGAGTTTAACTTGAATAAGGTGACTTGGACCACTCTGGCGGACCCTCCATATGTCTGGCCGTATCCTGGTGAATGTTGTTACTTCTCCTATGCAATCGTGGGCACCAAGATCATGGTCTCCACCCCAATATCTTCGGTGTTCTGCTTTGACGTCGATGCCCCGAATCCCGGGCAATGGTCTGTGTGCTGTGCTGAGCCTTTTCCCTTCAAAGGCAGGGCTTTAGTGTTGGACTTGGAGGAGGGATGATAATTGTAATAAGATAATGTTTGGCTATGAATGCATCCCTGGACATGGCTATGATGTAGTAGCCTACACCATGTTCAACGATGATGAAAATGGTTATTGTTACTGTCATCGCATCACCCCTCTACATCTGCTGACACAGAGTTCAGTGAATTAGTTTTTGGATCAGATGACATGTTTAGTTTTGTCCATCTAGGAGGTGGAAAAGTCTGCTTTGTTATTGCATGTTCCATCGCAAGCTTGGAAGGTGATGATGATCATCCTATTCCTGTGGAGGAGGACATGGATCTTATTGTCGTGACATTCGAATTTTCCATTTCCGATAAGGATGGTAATTCTACAAGATTCCTCTCAGCCAAAACTTTGGGTCGTGCATCTTTCCTTTCGATTTTGCTTCAGAATCTGGTAGCATGTTGAAGGCCAAACTGCTCGGTTGCTTTGTGCGCTAATACGCAATGCAACTTCTTTCCTTCAGTAATCTCTCTGGCTGACTCATTTCTATTTATTTATATTGATTTTGTGGCTAAGTATTTTCTTGCTAGCTAGGATCTCGGGTTTAAGGGTGAATGCTCTTAATCACTAGAGTTTAATGCATGTTGGTGCTTATGGTTAGCGTCCAATTTGGCACTAAAAAAGTGCTGAGCAGTCAGCACACCCAAAACTTTTCACATCCAAACCTCACTTTGCAAACTAATAGTTTTATTACTCAACACATCCTAACATATTCATGAGACACCTCTGATTATTTATTTAAAAATAAATTTCTTTAAACTTCTATAAAAAAAATCAAATCAAATCAAATGAAGAGCAAATATCATCGAGGCCAATCATCGCTAGTGTTAACATGAGGCGACCTTTAATCTTTTGTATTTGATAGCCTTTCGAAAAACCCAAAAATTTTGATTTGATTTTGGTTAGATGAAAAACTTAATTGAACAACCAAACTGCACTGTACTTCAGCATTCTATCAACGAACTAGTTCCAATTCAATAACTTTGGAAGTTCCTCCATAACAAACAAATAATAAAGAAAGTATATGATTACGAAACACCTTGGAAGTTCCTCTTGGGATTTTTCATAAAACTGTCCCCATTTGGCTTTTACATTGAACTCTTTGGCAGGGAAATTCTCTGTCTATTGCTAATCGCCTAAGCTTCATGCATGTACATAAGTTCTATCAACTCCTATGCATATTCCTCAGCATTGTATTAACTAATAGTTAAACTTTTGACGTATAGATAAGCCAAAACTCACCCAACCTTCCCATTCCACAGAATCCATTTCTTGATTTTCATCTTGCCATGTCTCGAAGGCATCGCTGCTGCGCCTGCTCCTTCTGCGTGTTCTACAACATCGTCCTCTGCTTCCTCCTGTCCCTCCTCATATTCTGGTTGATCTTCCTTCCCAAAGAGCCCAAATTCATAGTCACAAATGCCTCTCTCGCGCAATTTGATTTCTCCACCACTAACAACACTCTCTTCTACAACCTTGCCCTCAACATCACCATCCGAAACCCCAACAGAAGGGTTGGCATATACTACAACCGCATCGAAGCCATTGCTAACTACAGAAAGAACAGGTTTGCTTTGGTCACGTTGACTTCGACGCCATTTTACCAAGGCCACAAGAACACCACCACTTTACAACAAGCCCTTGTTGAAGGGCAGCAGGTTGTGGTGTTTGGAGAACATGACATTTCCAAGTTTAACTCGGAGACAGCTGCTGGTGTTTACAGCATTGATGTGCAGCTTGCTGTTAAGGTTCGAGTCAGGTTTGGAAAATTTAAGACAGGCTATTACACGCCGTCACGGAACATCAACTGCAAGCTGAAGGTTCCTTTGAGTCTTAAAGAAACCACTGCTGGTGGTTTCGAGACTACAAAGTGTGGGAATGTTGATATCTTCTCAGATCCTGATAGTGTAGGCTAACTCTGTTTTGAGTTTTGTTATCCCCGATTGTAAAAGTGCTTGATTGGTGGCCATATTTTTACTATTGTGCTTAGCTAATATAAAACAATTGAATTAGCCAAAGTGTTCAGCACATGGTCGAACAATTTTCATACATGTTGTTGATTGAATTCACACTAAAAAATAACTAAGATTTTTTATGACAGGAGAGATGGGTTCGTGACTAAAACCTCTTAGTGGCAGAAAGTATTGTATTTTAAGTATGGCTGAAGGCATGCCCAAAGAGAAGATGGATATGCATTTTACACATCCACTATCATCATTAATTGGTAATAAGAAAAACACAAATTCGTATTTTTTCGGTAATTAATCTTATTAGTTAAATAAGAAAATATTAATAGTTTGTTGTGATTGCAATCTTGTATTATTTACAATGGCTAAAAATCAACTTAAGGAATAATTCATATTCAAACTTCAGTGTCTGAGCATCTTATGTTGCCGACGTGGTACTGTCACACCAAATAATTTCTCACATTGACGGTGTGCCCTTTAGAAAATGTTATGCAACCCCAAGGGGCCAAAATCATTTTATCGATTCCTATTCCATTATTAGTGGTCACCACTAACTCTCAAATCTCAGTCTCTCATACCTTCCCTCTCATCTCATCCCCTTCATCCACCATTTTTTACGGCTACTAAAAGCTTCCCCCCAAAAGTAATGAGTTAAAAACAAACAAAGAAGATGAGTTGAAAACTACCAGTAACTGCTTGTATTGAACAACTTTGGAAGCGCCTCCTCTTGGTCGAAAGGATGCTTTGGAAGTTCGTCTTGATATTTCCAACAAAGCCAGTTGCTAAATATGCATATATATTCTGTCAAAATTTGTCAGCATTCTATTAACTAGCTAGTAATTAAGCTTGTATATACAAGTTAAAACCTCAGAGGGAAATCTATTCTCTCGTAACGTTTTTCTTTTCATTGCTCAGCCAATGACTCCAAGGTTTGGCGCCCGCTGCCGCTTCTGCCTCTGCAACACCATCCTCTGCCTCTTCCTAGCCCTTTTCATATTCTGGTTGATCTTCCTTCCCAAGGAGCCCGAATTCACCATCTCCAATGCCTCACTGACCCAATTCAATTTCAACAATAACACTCTCTACTACAACCTTGCGCTCAACATCACCATCCAAAACCCCAACAAAAGGGTTGGCATATACTACCGTCACATCCAAGTCATTGCTAACTACAGAAAGGAGAGGTTTTCAATGGTTAATTTGACTTCGCCGCCATTTTACCAAGGCCACAAGAACACAACCTTTTTGCATGATGTACTTGTTGAAGGGCAGCAGTTGGTGGAGTTTGGGGAACATGAACTTTCTCAGTTTAACTCGGAGACTGCTGCTGGCATTTACAATATTGATGTGAAGCTAGCTCTGTGGGTAAGAGCCAGGTATGGAAAGTTCAAGACAGCTGATTATGGGTCTAGCAAGATCGACTGCAAGCTGAAGGTTCCTTTGAGTTTTAGTGAAACACCTGCAACTGGTTTCAATACCACAAAGTGCGGCAATGTTTATGTCCTCACAAATCCTTGAGACTAGCCAGGGATTTGAGTTTTATGGTCCAAAAGAATATGACCCTTTTTAAAACACTGATAAAAATAAATAATAAAAAGACAATGTAATTGAAGAAATTAAAATTCAGAGAGGAAGCCATGAAGCCTCAAGCTCTCTAAGTTCAGAGAAGAATACTCATTGCTGATGGGGCAGTTGATGAATCGTCGGGAGTTCATGGGATTGTGGATTTTGTTTGAAATTAATATGGTCAGCTCATAGGTGCCCTTGCTAAACAGGTCTTAGGTACCGTAATTGATCTCTTTTGGATACTATTGAGCTACTAGTAGTCCAAGAGCAGGTTTCAATTTCCTTTTAAACCTTTTTTTAAAAAGAACTAATATAGCCGATCTTATTTTTAATTTTATTTAACGAAATCGTATAGCCATGCGGCTATTTAAAAAGAAATAGTATAGCCGGACGGCTATACTCTGTTTTTATCTAATTTTTAAAAGAAATAGTATAGCCGTGCGGATATACCCGGTTTTTTCCTAATTTTTTAATAAGCAAACGTACAATACTCTTCTTGAACATGTACGTACGTATTTTTTACAAACTTTTCAATAATACACACAACATTCACGTATTATACACATAATTCTCACATATTATTGAATACAAATAATATATATTAAAATATTGTATAGTGGTCTAACTTTTAAGACGTAATTTGCCAATATTTTGGAGAATAAAACAATTACACATTTTATTTGTATAGCCGCACAGCTATACGAAATCAATATCTATAAAGTATAAACTAATGCAACAAGGAGGGTCCTTCTTTTTTAATTTTTTTTTATTAAATAGTATAGCCGTCCTGCTATACTAGGAGTTTTAATTTGTTTTTCAAAAAAATAGTATAGCCGCGCGGCGATACCCTGATTTTTCCGGCATTACTTTGTTTTTCTAATTTTTAAAATATAGAGTATAGCCGCACGGCTATACCCGATTTTTTTATATTTTTTTAATAAGCAAACGTACAATACTCGTCTTTGTTAAGAAGATGCACTCCAGTTTTGGGCACAATTTTCTAATCTTTGCAGCCTTTAGAAGGGTTAAAAAAAACTTGTATGGGGCAGCCCTATTGCACCTGCCCCTCCCTAAGACCTACAGGAATTTATAGGTTTTTGCTATGAGGTCATTTCCTAAGAATGGCCTCATTTTCATTGATGACAGAGCTTGGAAACAATTATTTTGCAGAACTAGCAATTAGCATGACAAGTACAATAAATGGAAGAATAAAATGGGATCAAAGCCCGGAATTTGCATCATAATATTGTCAAGGAAAATATGTCAAGTGTCAACATGCTTAAAGCAACAGACTTTAGATACAAAGGCCAACTATATGTCAAACTGGTAAGGCTTTAGTTTTGAGTTGATCACTTGATAAAGAAAAAAAGTGGTATGGCTTTCACTACCTTCAAATTCTCAAAATGAAGCGACTCCGACAATCACTTCAAATGATCCATCGGCTTCATGATTTTCGAAGTAACAGACAGTATGGACTTTCGAAAGATTCATGAGTGCAAGCTTGAAAGCTCAAGGGGCCTGTCATGATACAAATATGAAACGTGGGTCAGTCAAAGGCATGAGAATCCATAAATATCAAGAAGCAGCCAATTCAAGCCAAGAACATAGGTGCTGTTATCACCCCCAGCTGAGAATAAATGTACGTAAGCAAAAAAACCAAGTCAGAAACAAAAGAAATTTCATGAAAATAGGTTTTCAGATTTCATGTCCCTAATCCCAACTCTAATTCCAGTCTGTCTGAACATATCACCATAAGGACGGTAAATTCTTCAACTCTTGTATCCAACCTGACATCATCATCTAGGATACGCTTTCTTGTTACTTAGCACTTCAAATCACTAATGAATCTTACTGTTAGCAGGATATTGAAATCACAGGGCTAAAAGCCTACAACAAAGCCCTCAGGTGGGCAGTTCCAGAAACACACAGCATTATAGACAGCGTTCTGCTTTACACCGATGATAACCCAAGGCAGCAGATAGCATATTATCCAAATTTCAAACCCGCCCCGCAACCGCAACCCTCCGTTTTATAAAACTAGTGCCATAACAAGGCCTTCGAGTTTTCAACCGTATGTTCTAAAACTGATCTAGGCCGGAGTTTAGAAATTATCCCTCTAGTACTCTTGCCTAATTACTAATTGTGAATGAAAAGCTTGGAAGTTAAAACAAGATAACTATCAAGTATATGTTGATTTGCTCACAATGAAACCTAAATTGCTTTGCTACCATTATGATATAAGAATTTCTCAAACAACCAAGATTGAAGCTTCTAAACGAGCACACACGCATTATGATGTAAGGGTTATATCAACAGAGTCATTTTATCAAACAGCTAATAGGCGAGCTTATTACATGCATTAAATTGGAAGACAAAAGATTCCATACTAAAAACTCAGCCTCTGAACCATAAAATACAACATAAATATGCTTTTAATTTAGAAAACTACATTGAATTCAAACTTTTACTCACCCCGGAAGATCAAAGACTGGGCCACCGAACCATCAAAGACTTCAAATCCAAAATGTTTATAGCTCCCAAAGCCCTCTGTAACTGCAGTGAACTATGCCTTTGGCCCTTGGGATTGTGAGTAAACACCATGGAGAGCGCAAAAAAAAAGAATTGCAGAAAAGAGCAAAAAAATTTGGACCATTTCTCGATTTATGCGTGTCATCCTTGCGCAGGGGCCATGCTAATCTTCTCTGTATCGTTCCAATTTTATCGGATGTCCCCGAAGGGACGACCTTATGTATTAAGCGCCAGTATATAAAGAGCTCTTATAATAAGCAATCCTCCGATGTGGGACAAAGCTTCCTTGGTCGGTTTAATAGTCAAATGTTCAGAAGTTGGACCTTTATTTGCGATTCAATAATAAGCCCAATGGAGTTTCAATCTCAATCCCTGACGAGTTAACTAAGAACTAGTTTGAAGCAAACATAATGGTCTCATTTTGAAGGCTCCTTTGAGGCACTCTAATTGGAACTTTGTGGTGCTTTGTTTTTGGATATTCAAGTGTGTAAAAAACACACTTTTTAACAATTCATAAAAAATTAAAATAAATAAAACCTCAAATTAACTTTTTCACTTCTTCAAAACTTTTGCACTAAAATTTAGGTATATTGAAGTTTGCCTATAAAATTACCCATTAGAAAACCTTAAGCCATAATCATTTTATTCTCCTCTTCATAAACTCCTCCCTTTATTAGTCCTTAGAGCATTTCCAGCAACAAACCCTTGCCATGGCAAGGGGGGCCCTAGGGCTGACACTATTCATGTGAATAGTGGCTGCCCTTGCCTTTTTTAGCTATGTGTGTTTCCAGCAATCAAACTCTTGCCATGGCAACTACTATTCATTTTTTTGTTTTTTTCACAATTTTTTTTACTTAAACAATTATTTTGGATAATATTTTTGGGTTCCTACGTGTCAATACTATTCATATCAGATAAGATTTTCGGTATTTTTTTTAAAGTGAAGAGTATTTGTTGGTATTTTTATAGAAAATAAATTCAATATTTTTTTGGAAATTTTAAAACATTTTTTCGATTTTTTTTCAATTTTTTATTGCACAAAAAATCGTCGCCGTTGGATTGCTGGAAAAAATCGAATCGGAGAGCCCCAGCAGCAGCCACGTGGCAGAGAGTACTGTG